TCTAAGTACAAGAGGCTTAGCCTAGAGCTTTCAAGTATGTAGTAACTTTTAGCTTAAATGTTAACCTTTCTCTATTTTGGTATTTTGGTACTATCTATATCTAAAAATAACACTGGATTTTATAAGAATAGGAAACAATAATTTAGAATTTGATCTAGCAACTCATTGGACTGCAAAATAATTTGTCATTAGTTTCCACTGTCTTATGCAAAAAACAAAGGATGTATATATTTTGAGGGGTCAAGGTTTTATTTTGCTGGGTCAAATTGTAGCTGCTGAATTAATAAACATGAATTTATCTCCTGGTCTATGGAAAAGCCATTTACCTTTTCTATATTTAGTTTTCTTACCTAAGAAAATAAGAACAGTTGGCCAGGCACGGTGGCTCACGCCTGTAATCCCAGCACTTTGGGAGGCCAAGGCAGGTGAATCACGAGGTCAGGAGTTCGAGAGCAGCCTGACCAACATGGTGAAACCCTGTCTTTACTAAAAATACAAAAAATTAGCTAGGTGCAGGGGTGGATGCCTGTAATCGCAGCTACTCAGGAGGCTGAGGCAGGAGAATCGCTTGAACTTGGGAGGCGGAGGTTGCAGTGAGCCGAGATCGTGCCACTGCATGCCAGCCTGGGCGACAGAGTGAGACACTGTCTCAAAAAAAAAAAAAAAAAAAAAAAAAGATTCTAAGTTCCTTGTAATGTTGAAGAAATAGCAAGAGACAGCTTTTAAAGCTGTTTTCCTTTCTTTGGAAAATTAATAAAAGAAATTTGATTCATAATTTGAACCCTGAAAAAATGTTTATCTCAAACATGCTCTTAAGTAGAATTCCAATATTTTCATTTTTTGCTGTTTGTTTCCCCCCTATTCTTTTATCAAAATCCATTCAAATTAATTAAAAATTTGCAAATTTGTCTAAATTAGTTAATTTTACAAAATTCCCAAATGCAATGTGGGATACCATATATTCTACTAAAAATCTAGTTCTAAAATTTAGAGTTAATACACGTTCTGAATAACACATGTCAGTGATCAAAGAGAAAAAGAGATTTTGCATCATCTTAAAAGTGAAATAGATTCCCGAACTTAATGTTCCATTTCAAAGCAGTCAATTGGATTTTTGTTTTCATTTTTATACTTAGATATTCTGTGCCATTTCTTACATGTTTCATAGAGACAATTTTTCCAGCAGGTTGTTGACTCTGGAGTTATAAAGTTGAACAAGTGACAATCAATCAGTGATCTCAGGGAATTTATAGGGTATTAGGAAGGGAAGTTGTACGAGTAAATAATTGTATTATTTCACACTGAAATGGAAATCCGTAGTGTGGAGGTCAGTGGGCTGGGTATTGTCAATAACAAGGACAAAGTCTGTGTGGTAGGAGCCCACTACCTGCTTTACCATCTGCTGCTACTCATTCTCCTGCCCCTGTCAGTTCCTCTCTCTAATGTCCAGTCACTTCACTGCAGCTGGGAGGATCTTTCTTTCTTATTTTGTTGTTACTATAAGTAAGGGACTTACATGTTATTCAGGTATTTGAATAACACTGCTTATTGTCTCTTGTGAGGTAGTAATTGATCTCTACCAACTTATTCTAAAATTAAAACGTAATAAATACACTGATTTTTTTCAGAGATGGGAGAATGCTCAAAAACATGTAAGATGTGGATAGGATTTTCAACAATACTATTATTCTTTATCTGCTGCCCATTAGCCAAAGACCAATTCTGGCAGCTGACAATGTAGCAGTCCATTTGCCACTAAAGTTATATGAAACCTATTTTTGAAAATGTATTGGATTTGCACTTTACATTAAATGAAGTCAAAATGTAAACAGTGTCCTAGAAATGAAAAGTTAATTATATTAAACTAATATTTAAATCTCTGTGCAAAAATTGGCTCTTTAACAAAATGTTTGCAGACTAATGATATCTTTTCAGTTTTGTAAATCAGATTGTTCCATGTCTGTGGAATCAGAAGACATTGAAACATTTGGCCCATCTGATTCATGACAATTTGTTTATATAAATACTACATGTTTCAGGGATCTACAAATACTAACTTCTCTGATAATTTCCTGCGAAAACACCCCCAAGTGAATTGTGCTGACATTTTAATCTAGGTCCATCCTGTCTCTGATTTAAAAGTCCAAAATACTATTTATCAATTTCAGAATTACTATAATCTTTAGTTGAATATTGTTATGGTCATCTGTTTTTTATTTAAATCATTGTACTTTATTTCCAAAAACATAGCTATAACCAAAACTATGACAAGATAAAATCATTTGATATAATGAAATTCTCATTAGAATATGTATAGTGCAGGCAGTACAGATGAAATACTGTAGTAGGTGTTGGAAACAGTGGGTTCATTATCCTGTCTTCTTTATTTTTGTATAGGTTTAGAATTTTCCCTAACAAAAATGTAGTTTCTTTTGTAGTTGGCAGAAATCAAAAAGAGACAGAAAAATTATTTATAACGAAAGTTTGTCTGTCTGGATTAATGTGTTTTCAGTAGTACAATATTTGGTGCAGCTTTCTTGTGTCATACATGTATGGACTCGGGGTCGATTTCCTCCCCTAATGTCATGCAATTTTGAAAATGGAAATGCTGTTCAAAAGCATATGTCAAATCTGATCTTCTTTGCATGTGTCCTCAATAGTTTCAAGGATGATATTGTTGTTGGTTGGATGCAAGCTGGCAGAATTACTGAAAAGGCATTTGGTTTTAAACTGTTAATTTCTATTGAGATGTAGATCATGTAGTAGTTTGTGAACTAATATTTTAGAAGGGTGCAAACACAGTTGAGGTTGGTGCAACTTCAATTGCGTTTGCACCAACCTCATAAATGAACTTTAAAGCTTAAAATCAGAGAAGGAATAGATGGAGTTATGAGGGCCAAACATTATACTGCTACGATCCCGAGATTTTCCTCCATTAAAATCATACTTTTGCAGATAGACATTGTAGAATGACCTCTTTAAAATACACTTTTACCTGGAAACAGTATCTTCAATGCATCAGTGTGCATTTGTGGACTGTTTTCTTTGGCATGGGTTGGGGATGGGACAATGAGGTGTCGGGAAGACTTAGGGAGGGAACTAAGTCTTAGTAGAAAGAAGAGCCCGTAAGTAAGGAACCCTAAAACACGCCCAATCAATATGCACAATATGAACACAGCCAAACCCAGGACAGGCTAAGGTTATTAAAGAGGTAAATTCCATTGAGAGATGACCAACCTGTTGGGACACTCAAATGGGAAAAGCTCAGCAATCAGGGGCATGTTTCTGAACCTGATCCCTGAGGGAGAAAGCAGCTGACAGAGAAACCCAACGGTCTGTGGGAGAAGTGATAAGGCCCTAGGAAAAGCACTACATAATTTGCAGGTGTGTGTGACCTCGGTGGTCTAATATAATCTTAGGTGTGATGGGGTTGTTTAGTATCAGTGATTTAAGAGGATATAAAGAAAAAGGAGAAGATAGAAGGAAAATTGGCTGCAAAGTTTTGCGAATATTTCTACAAATTCTAAGGTACTTTACCTACTGATATTTTAAAATCTTTTTCTTTAACATTTAATTGCAAACTACAGTATAATTTTCTAATATTTTGAGATCTCCAGGAAGTAAAACATCTGAGCAGAATGGTGTTCTTTTGTTGAAAATTTTGGTCATATTATTTTCTTCCTTTCTTCCATTGGTTTTGGTCAACAATAATTTAATACTTGTCCACTAAATGTCAGTCATATATAATTACTAATTGAGACCATCTAGTCTAGGTTTGACAAAGATGGTACTAGCATGCATGCAGTTTTCCTCCAGAAAAAAATTAATTATGAAAATATCAAGGGTAGACTTAATTCAGTTTTGGCAAAAGATATTTTGTCTGAAGAAATAGCAATAGTAATTAGAATTATTTATGGATCAAATAATATGTATTTTATATAACAACAAATAAAAATTAGCATTTTTATAATCATGGTTATATATAAATGAATAATTATCTTACCAAGAGGTAAAGCATGAATTAGAAATCAAATCAACATTAAACAAGTTATAATCAACATTTGACAACAATTAAATGAAAGATTGAACATATATGTGAATCAACTACTACATATACACCTAACTTCGTGTCCACACATAATTATTCCTAAACATGTGATGAATGAATGAAAGTGAATATATAAAACAAATGACCCAATCTTACTTTCCATTATTAAATAATAATTAAATTATTGAAAACAGTAAAGACAATCAGGAATCACACTAAGTCAAATGTGAAGTGAGCCACTATATTTTGAAATTTTTATTTACCCATTATTTCCCATTCTGATTAAGTATATTTAAATGTTTATCATATAATCTATTTAAAATAAATCCTGTTTCTTTAAAGGAAAAATTCTGAACAAAGGAGAAAAAAAATAGTAAAAAATGTAGAACAAGAGGGAAGAAAGATCCAAAATGAAGCTTGCTCATTCTCTCGTATATATTTTGCCCCGGGCCACACTAATAGTGATTGGTGCCACTGCAGTTTAGGGAAGGGCATTTTAGAGTCAAAGGCTTGAACTTGAGATTGGTTGTTCTAGGCTTTATTCTCACATTAGTCACTAAGGGACCTTCAGTAAGTCATCTTATTTGGTTCTACGTGTACCATTGATTTCGAAGGACTGATAATACAGACATAATTTACATAGAATTCTGAGATTTTCAAATTCGGATGCTCAACAAATGCAAAGTGATATTCCATGGCCAGTTAACAGTGAGGCAAAACAGTTTTTAGAATCTTTATCTTATGCTTTAAATTGCTTCAGTCATGTCTTTCTTTCAGTAAGCTCAATTCTCAGCAATTCCTCTAATAACTGTTTATTTCTTAACAAAAATTCTGCGTGTCAAAGGCAACACTTTCTATGCTCATTTGTGTTTGTGCTCCCCTGCCCCTGTTTTATTTGTATGTTTTTCCAAAATCGTACTTCATGGTAATTTATGGTTTTTTTCATTCTAAGAGCCGGGAAAAGCTCCTGAAACCAAACAAGGGACTGTAAAAATTGCAGCACAAGGTAAGCAATAAGATACTTTAAAAATCATGGCTTTTTTTTTTTTTTTTTTTTAACATCTATAGCACTTGATTGACAAAAGCAAAAACTGTTTATTGCAGAATAGCACCATCTGCTGGGATATTGCCAAAAAAACATATTGTTGAATGAAAATACACAGTTCAAGTATTTATTTAGTAATTAGCAAACATGACTGAGAGTAATGCCAGATTTGCAGAGGAAATGCCTAAGGACCCAATAACTAGTCTTGGCTCCAAGTTTCAGTATTTGAGCTTTATGTGTATTTTTAAAAATAAGCCATAGATGTGCCTAAGGAAATACAGACAGATATAAAATAATGTGCATTTTTCTATAATTTTCAGTATACCTTATAATTTATGTCACATGAGAGAATCAGAATGTTATTAAATTAATAGTACTTCATAAACATCAAAACTGTAAAAATTGGGTTCCAGATATGGCTATAAAATAATTATCCTATTTTTATGAGCCATCTAAGAAAATTAGCTTCATCATTTATGAATATCTTCAGGATATCAAAAGTCCTTTTGTCTCACACCATGAGGATTAATTTGATGAAAGCATAAGGGAAGGGTACAAGTGTTCTGTTTTTGTCATGTGGCAAAACTTTATGCAACGCACTTAGAAAATAAAAGATACAATATTTACTGGAGACGATCTTTACCATCTCTTCTATGCTAGATTATATAATATCAAGCAATAAAGGAGATACACATAGGTGGTGGTACAATTTTCAGGGGGTAGAAGGCTCTCATAGCAGACTCAGCGTATTACATGATGTATGACTGCATGTATTATATCTGAGCAACATTTTTCTCTTGTATTTAATCTCGGACCCAACAACATGCAGAATCACCCCCCCAAATATTGGTAGCATGGGTTTGTTAAATGCCATTTGACTCAAGGATGTTGTCTGTGAGCAAAATAAGCTAGAATTGTTAAAAGCTGTGACACCAGTTTTTAGTTTTCATGTTGAAAAACTTGTTTTTCTTTAGGAAAGTTCTGATAGGGAATATAGTAAATATTATGAATGGTAAAAAGGCAGGACAAATTGTATTACCTTTGATTTTTTCATACATGAAAATGCAGGTCAGGGTGAGTTCCTCAAGCCAATGACTACCAGTTTAAGAAATCATTGCTATTAGTGTATATATGTTCTCATAGAAAACCACAATCACCTTAGACTCCTTCTGTTTAACTGAGACTTCTGAGGACCATAGTGTAGATATGAAACTATGACTTGAGGCAGGAATTTTGTGTTAGTTACTTCAGCCTCATGTTAGAGGCGTTCATGAGGAAGAATATTAAGAGATATTTGAAAATTTGCTTCATATTTGAGCTTGAGGGTAGGGGCTCTTTAAACTACATTTAACCATTCAAGATTTAAAATACATTGGACAAGGCAACTTCAGAATTTATTGTTTTGGAATAAAATATTTATTTTTGAGTAAATAGTAACATAGAGTTTCAAAGTCTTGTTAGAATTATCCTTGGAAGGAAATTGGATGAAAAGATTGGTGAAGCACAGTGAACAAGGCAAGAGTGAGGTATTCTGTGTATACATTTACTAAAATAAAAATGACACACCAGTGCAGGGACACACCAAAGCAGAATTGCAGATTTTTCACTTCTTTGCAAATCCCGCATAGATCTTTCTTAGATATGTTTATTTTAATGTCATAGGCATATAATTAAATTATGCAGAGAAATAATTAATATTTGCAAGTACTTCACGTGGAGACAAAACTTAAACAAAATTGGCAATAATCCTATAGTAGACTGATGTTTTTGAAGTATAAGTGATAAAACTGATCATGATCTTTGTGGCATGGTAAAACGCTAGATTAGATCTGTTCATTTATTGATTTTGAACTTTTACAACCAAGGACATATTAAAAATCTGGTTTCCATGCATATGTATGTGTATACGTTGATATTTATTTATAACTATTATTAAGATTTAGCATAGATTCTTTGGAATTTTAAAATAATTTAAGGAAAATTATTTTTCCAAACTTTTGAGGCGCTGAGGAGACTACAAAATAAATATCTCACTACTACAGGAAATTCCAATTTGGAGATCTAACAAATTTAGGTAAATATAAGGAAAGGCTTTTGTTTCTATTAAGACATGAGACAATAACCTCAACTAGGACGGTGGCAATGTCAAGAGAAAAACCACAAATGTCATTAACATTTTGAAGAACTAATGTCTGATAGAATATGTGAAAAGAAACAAAGGAAAGAACAAAAATGATACTGAGCTTTGGAACCTGGGTAATGAGGAGATCAACTATCTCCATTGTCACTGTAAACTGTAAACTGAAACTATCAAACATATAAGAATGGGGGAAAAAAGATACATGTGTATGTATGCATGCTTGCATCTCTTCATGCTTATGTACAGATTTCAAGGGAAGAGACTAGCTGAAGGGAAAAGATGATTCACTCTTCAGTGGATGAATGTTGAGCGGAAGGAGAATAATTGTACAATAATTTTTTTGTAGCCAATTAGAATTTAGGTGGGAAATCAATCTAGTTCATAGGTATTACATAAAAAAATTGTTGGAAGAAATCCATATAGACCCAAATTGGAAAGGAAGTAGAGAGATGGGGAATTACTTTTTTAGTCAGGTGCAATGGTGAGGTAGACACCTAGTGATATCAAAATGCCAAAGAGAGAACACATGAAAAATTAAACTCAGCTTAAAAGATGGAGTTATGTGCACTCTGTGTTAGTATATTTCCACTGGCTTTTTTCTTCTGGATTCCTAAAGCAAATATTAAGAATTTCCCGGATACTATAGGAAGAGTATAGAAAGAGAACAACATCAACAAAACTAGAATGTTAGCCATTCCAGTTTTTTTACAATGCAAAACCCAAAACCTCAGTTATTCAGAACCATGTCTACTCAGTAAATTCAAGAGTCATCCAATCCCATAACAGAGTTAAATAGATGAGAACCAGGCAAGCTGAATTTGAGGACCAGAAGTGGGACACATGGAACACAAGCTACAAAACCGTTCTGGAAGCAATTGAATCCCGAGACCCTGGCTTTGATTAGCTTGTGGGCCTGGAATCCAGGTTGGCAGATAACATGGCCTTCCAACTGGCAATAAACAAAAGCTATGCACCTTCAAGGGAACCAGGGCAGCAACAGAAAACAGAGTCAGTTATGATGGAATAGGTCAAACTGCTTCATTCAACTATCTCCATTGTCACTATAAACTGGAAACTGAAACTATCAAATATATAAGGATGGGAATAAAAGAAGATGCATGTACATGCATGCATGCTTGCATCTCTACATGCATATGTGCAGATTGTTTTTCATGTATTATTTTAGAAATCAAAAAATTTGTTGCAATTTAACAAGATTTTGCTAATTCTTGAAGGAATTTAAGTTTCAGAGGCTTTCTTGTCTGTAGAATTGACAAGAAACTATGGTTTTGTCAAATGTATTCACATTCTCAGCCCTTTTTTTTGTCATTGGTCAAGGCCTTTTTCAGGTTGCCCTTTACACATGTGTTTATGGTTAAATTGATGAAGTTTAGAGCTCAGAGCAATTCATTGACCAGAGCTCCTTCAAGGGGGTAATTTTGTGTTGTTTTATTTTGTCTTTCTTTAAAGAGTTCCCCACTCCCATCCATCCATCCAAATCATGATCAGATGATTTTGAAAATTATAAAATTTTTTGAAGGAAATTCTTATTTTCAATGTAAAGAATCAACAATAAACAAGTCTATTGAGTCAAACTCACAGACTTACTGAAATTAAACCTCATGGCTTTGAAATTCATCAGGCCATGAATTTTGTGTATTATTATATAATTATATAATATATAATATAAATTATTTATATATATTATACATATTATATAATATATTATATATTATACATATTATATAATATATTATATATTATACATATATAAAATAATATATAATACATAAATATATAATATATAATATATATTATATATAAATTAAAAATGTATTAATATATAATATAGTATATAAGATATATGATATAATATGATATATAATATCATATATAATATATAATATACATATGTTATGTAGTATATATTATAATATAATATATAATATCATATATCATATACATATAATATGATATATATTATATATAACATATATTACATATTATATATTATTATGTGATATATATGTTATATAATATATAATATGTAATATATTATATAATATTATATATAATATATAATATAAATATAATATATTACATATAATATAAATAATATATTTATATTATATATTATATATAATATTATATAATATATTACACATTATATAATAAATAAATATATAATATAATAAAAATAAAATAATAAAATATAATAAAACAACAACATGGATCCAGATTTAGATTCATGGTCCAGCATTAGATAAATATCAGCACAGAGGAAGCCAGAAAAGGTGATTAAAGTGTTCTGTACTTTTTTCTCTATGTAAAAGAAGGCATAAGTTTGCTAAAAGGAGGGTAGGATATTTATTATATATAATATATTCTAGATCATATTATATAGAATATATTATAGTCTATATTATATTATATAATTTGATATATTATATAAATATTATATATTTTATTATATATATAATATAATAACATCATAATATATAATATTTATATTATATAATTGTTATATAATTGTTATATAATACATTTTGTGTATTATTAGCTAAAACTACATTAAAAAGAAACAAATATCCCAAAGTAGAATTATCATATTTGTAAATTAATTTATTTATAAATTCACTTTTCTACTACAAAAGTAACAGCACATCAATAGCATTTAGAAAATAGAGAAAAATAACTTGTCATAAATTAAAATACATTTTCTTCCTGCTGCTTATCCTGTCTTTTATTCCTGATCATTAGAGCCAATTCTGCTGCTTATACTCTGAAAATTATTTTATTGTTTCAGAGGCTTCATTTTCTGCTCTGGGCTGCTTTTTTTAACAAGGTCATGATGAAAACCCAATAAGAGGATGTACCTGAAAGAGCTTTGGCAATTGTATCATAGAGCAAATGTCCATAGCAGTTGTTTCTAAGTGTTTTCTAAGTGTTGTTTCTAAGTGATCCCCAACATTCTATCCCACTTAGGTGGGATTACCATGCTGGATTATGCACAATCTCAAATTCAGCTAATGTGACCTAAGATACCTCTGAATGATTTTAGCTCCTGGGTGAACATAAAACAGAACCAGGGGTCATATTGCTTAGAACAATTCTAAGTCTGTTGAGCGCCTCTCCCTAATATTTCTGGTAATACCCTTAAGCAACAACGTGGATCCAGATTTAGATTCATGGTTCAGAATTAGATAAATATCAGCACAGAGGAAGCCAGAATTCAAAGGTGATTAAAGTGTTCTGTACCTTTTTCTCTATGTAAAAGAAGGCATAAGTTTACTAAAAGGAGGGTAGGATATTTATTTACCCGTCCTAAAATTGGGTATTTTATACACGGCTATTATAAATGCAAATGTAGACTGCAGACTGGTATATAACTCCTCAGTAGCTAAGCATAGATAATTTTTGGAATATCACTTCCACTTATTTTGATTAATCCACTCATAGTCTATATTTTATGACCTTCTAGAAAAGATTGTGGTTTCCTCAGATACAACAATTTAAGATGTAAAATGAATTTACACTAAGCATATACATATAAATTTGACTTCTTGTCTGTGTAACTCCATATATTTTTATTCTTCTTTTGCTAATGCTTATTTCTGAGTTTACAAAAATCTTTATATGAAGTAATATTTTCTGGTTACACTCCTATCACAGATTTGGATGAGTTTATTAGTGTGTAGATGACCACTGAATTTGTGAATATATGGAATACATTCTCATATTCTGGGGAGTATTCTGAGGAATGATCATTTCATATGTCTTTATGCCATTTTCATTATTTCAGCAGCAGCTAGAAAGGATGAAAAGAAGGAAGGTAAGTTTTATGCAAAATCCCACTGAGCCTTTTGTGAGTATAATTTACCAATATCCTGAGTTGGGGTTTGACTGCTATCCTGTCTATATTCCCCTCGGATAACTGTATCTATTATGTGCATACTTTTGCATGAATGTGCTTTTTCTACTTCACCTCACACAAAAGGGTGAGCTACTTTTTGAAAGCAATTTTAATCTAATCTTTCTCAAGATATAAGGAATAAAGCATAACTTCTCAAAATCCTAGGGCTCCTTCTATGTTGACAGTTTTATCAAATTTCAGAACTATGTAACATACAGACCCATTCTCATCGGCATTCAAATCAAAGTCTTCGAACCCTTTGGGTTATATAAAACAGTAGTCAAATTTCAATTTCACCGCTTTAAGCTTTTTATCTGTTTGTTTGTTTGTTTGTTTGTTTATTTTTCTCTCATTGCTCTGCCTCTGGGATATTTTTGTTCTATTTTTTCTGGCTTATATACCTCTTTTCATTTTTTCTCCTTTTGAAACATTGTCCATAATCAATATGCAATATTGGAGGAGCTTGCGATGAGCTCTGCTTACGTAGATTCAGGAGATCCAGAGTCCATGACCAGCTAAAAAACATATAAAACACTCCTTGTAGACAGCAAGACTGAAATATTGGTATAACCTTCAACACCGATTTTTTTTTTAAATTTTTTCCCTTACATTTAGTCCTCCAGAATTTTCACTTTTACTGAACGATCCTTTTGTTTAATTCTTCCTATAATAATTAGAACAACTAATCTTCATTTGCAGGATCCAGTTCTTTATTTGCGATCTCACATTGCCATTTGTGATCTCATGTTGGTCTTACTAACTTTTCATGTCAACCAGAACAATGATCTACAAAATCAGTGGTCAAGGACTCCTGTAGATCTCTGAGACATTTTCAGTGGTTCTACAAGGTTTCACTTATTTTTATAAGTGATAGGAAGTTTTCATTTGCCTTTCTCACTGTCGTTCTCACTTGAGTTTGCAGTAGAGACTTCTAGAGGCTAAATAATGGTAATAATACAACACAGTAAATGCCCAAGCGGATATGCAAATCCTATTGCTTTCTCATTAAACCAGACATTAATAATATTCACAAAAGCAATAAAAAAGTCACTCATGTCACCATTTTTTTTTTGTATTGGGAAGTGTATTGGTCATAAAAACATGTTATTTATGTTAACATTTAACAGGTTTATTATTTTTAACAAATGCAGAAATAATGCCATATTTGAAAAATTTCCTCAGCTTTAATTTTTTAAAATTATAAGTATCAATAGAAGCTACATTAAAAAAGGCTGTTTGGGAGTTTTAATAGTTAAGATTTTAAAGGAGTCCTGAGAGGAACACGAAAAACTTTGACCAAGATAATTAATTTGCCTCTAATATTACCTCTTTCCAAAATATTCAACTGATTTTATTCAACTTTTCATGTCATAACCTATTTAAAATATTGAGTGGCTTTACACTGACCACTGAATGTACTCTACAAGACTTAACCTGCAATTAAAGTTTTTTAAATTCTTTTTCTGAATCGTCTTTCCTGACTGCCTATTAAGAGTACCTCAAGGCGGTCAGCTTGCTCCTTTCTGCCCGTGGAAGCTGCCGAAGAAGCATCCTTAAAGTCTCTCTTCTCCCTGCCGTCATGTCTAAGTCAGAGTCTCCTAAAGAGCCCAAACAGCTGAGGAAGCTCTTCATTGGAGGATTGAGCTTTGAAACAACTGATGAGAGCCTGAGGAGCCATTTTGAGTAATGGGGAATGCTCACGGACTGTGTGGTAATGAGAGATCCAAACACCAAGCGTTCCAGGGGCTTTGGGTTTGTCACATATGCCACTGTGGTGGAGGTGGATGCAGCTATGAATGCAAGGCCACACAAGGTGAACGGAAGAGTTGTAGAACCAAAGAGATCTGTCTCAAGAGAAGATTCTCAAAGACCAGGTGCCCGCTTAACTGTGAAAAATATATTTGTTGGTGGCATTAAAGAAGACACTGAAGAACATTACCTGAGAGATTATTTTGACCAGTATGGGAAAATTGAAGTGATTGAAATCATGACTGACCGAGGCAGTGGCAAGAAAAGGGGCTTTGCCTTTGTAACCTTTGACAACCATGACTCCGTGGATAAGACTGTCATTCAGAAATACCATACTGTGAATGGCCACAACTGTGAAGTTAGGAAAGCCCTGTCAAAGCAAGAGATGGCTAGTGCTTCATCCAGCCAAAGAAGTCGAAGTGGTTCTGGAAACTTTGGTGGTGGTCGTGGAGGTGGTTTCGGTGGGAATGACAACTTCGGTCGTGGAGGAAACTTCAGTGATCGTGGTGGCTTTGGTGGCAGCCATGGTGGTGGTGGATATGGTGGCAGTGGGGATGGCTATAATGGATTTGGTAATGATGGAAGCAATTTTGGAGGTGGTGGAAGCTACAATGATTTTGGCAATTACAACAATCAGTCTTCAAATTTTGGAGCCATGAAGGGAGGAAATTTTGGAGGCAGAAGCTCTGGCCCCTATGGTGGTGGAGGCCAATACTTTGCAAAACCACAAAACCAAGGTGGCTATGGCGGTTCCAGCAGCAGCAGTAGCTGTGGCAGTGGCAGAAGATTTTAATTAGGAAACAAAGCTTAACAGGAGAGGAGAGCCAGAGAAGTGACAGGGAAGCTTCAGGTCACAACAGATTTGTGAACTCAGCCAAGCACAGTGGTGGCAGGGCCTAGCTGCTACAAAGAAGACATGTTTTAGACAAATACTCATGTGTATGGGCAAAAAACTCGAGGACTGTATTTGTGACTAATTGTATAACAGGTTATTTTAGTTTCTGTTCTGCGGAAAGTGTAAAGCATTCCAACAAAGGGTTTTAACGTAGATTTTTTTTTTTTTGCACCCATGCTGTTTATTGCTAAATGTAATAGTCTGATTGTGATGCTGAATAAATGTCTTTAAAAAAAAAAAAAAAAAAAAAGAGTACCTCAAGGTAAGGTCATGATCGAGACCTAAACAATTCCAACAGTAAAGATGCAATAATCCCATTTGAGATTGAGACAATATATTACTTTCATAGCAAAACTCGAGGTTCCAGCTCTCCAAGGTTGTTGCACCACACACCAAAAAGGATGAAGCCCAAACAAAAGGGGCCAGAAAATGCAACACAAGTTGGGGACACGTCATTGCTGAGGAGCTATTCCAGACTACAGCAAAATGATTTTGTGGTCTGCAGCTCTATTCCAGGCAGCTTTAGGCAGAATCAGGAGGTGATGAGAAACTGCCTCTTGACATTTCCTGGGAGAGATAGGGAGCCATGTGGGAGGTGGTCTCACAGCAGGGCTTTGCAAGCCTCCCTTCTTTCTACGTTCTGGGAGAATCGCAAGGCATCCTATCAAAACTTAAATTAACTGTGGTTCAAAACTTTACCTGCATGGCCTGTGCGGACATGTGCAAGGTTGCCAGGACATCATGGTGAGCTGTTACCCGATACTCACCCAGTTTCTTCCTTTATCATCTTCATCTGTACCAAGTCGTTCTCTATTTTACATGTACAATGTGGCATCTTGCCTTTGTTCTTGTTGTTATCCTAACAGAGGTTATCCTTTTTCCTTCTCTGAAAATTCATATATTTTCCTGTCTCTGAGAAGTAGGTCTGATGCTACCAATTAAAAATACTTTCCTGCATGTATAATCTCCCATTTGTATCTCTCTACTATTATTTATTTCTTGCCACCTTGTATTTCATGTTACTTGTGTTTATTTTCCTATTCCTCTAATTGACTTAAACCTTTTGTCTAAAGGGGCTATGTCCAATTAACTTTTATCCCTTATGGAGGATGAGCACATTTCCTTGGTTTGCACATTTCTAAACAAATATATATTCTGTGCATGCACCGGTAGTATTCAGAACTCGAGATAAATATAACACCCAGAAGAAATATGAATAAGTACCTATTTTCTCACACCACAGGCAAGGAATGATTTTTTTTTTAACTACTGGAAGGTATATTCCAGTGAGCTTTTTAGGTTTGGGAAGTTATAATCAGCTATTGACTGTTCTTAGGTGTATGTAATCACTAGTTGCTCCTTGAATTGTACTAGCAGATCCAGGTAGATATTATTCATCCAAACTCAGCTTGATTGATGAATTCCTAGCCACCAGAATTCTAGGAATTCCACGTTATCTTCTGAAAGATAGAAATTCACTGAGAACCAGCCAGATGAGATTTATTTTTGGATACAACTAGAGCAAATAGAGTTGAATACATGTGAGAATTAGTCCCTAGTTCTACGGCTTCTGGATTCAGACCAGAAGATAAATCATGCTGAAAAACAAAGCAAAATTCCTGGTATTCTAATTGACTGAAGTTGTCAATCAAGTAGGTTCCACAAAGGAGATAGGATACTTCAGTACTACCATTAGTAGGCTATCAGAAAGTTAACTTTTCCCTTCAATATAAATTGGTATTTCATTTTCATCTGGCATCACTTACGAACATAAAAGGCCTTACTTGAGACACTGCTACAGATGAGTGAGTGATGGATTTAACAGATTGCAAACACATCACTGATTTTAAATCACAGGTGCTGGGGGCCTCAATGTTCTTAAAAAACTGCTGGCCAGATTATTGGGCAGATGGTCTTCAGGGAAGTATATTCACCAAGTAAGCCTTTGTAATGTTTTAAGCTGTTTGAGCCAAGAATGCTGAAAGGGCATAATGAAGTTTAATAGCATGAATATTACCATCTAGTATTAATAGCTCTTCAGAGTCAGTATGTGATCTTTGGACACAAGCACTATAGTTTTAAGTTGCTCTATCACTTTAGTTCTATATTTCTGTTGCACTGTTGACTCTAAAAGAAAATGTACAACTTTATCATGACATTCTGAGTTTCATTTTCCTGACTCTGGACTTCATATGATGTTTTAATCTTTCATTTTAGTACATTTGATATCTGATAAAATATATTATTGATTTTTATTATTAGGAAATAGAAAGGCAGATTAAAATTACAGATATTCTTTAGTTACATTTGCTATATTGAGCTTTCTATCCATTCCAGTATCTGGTCAGAGAATATAGGGATTGGAAATAATCTTGTTCTAATATGGCATGTTTTATCTTCTCTCTGTTCCCACATTTCCCCCAAACTTTAGGTTGAATTTATTACTGCATGACCATGTTCTCTTCATAATCCTCCTGTGCTTTTCCTATTGGCTATATTCTAGACTCAAGAGATTGGTCAGTGAGGAACACGCAACTGCTTGGGCAGGCAGAAATACTATTTCAGTATACTGGAGTCAAACTAATTGATAACTTACAATGGACATTGAACTATCAAGTTCATACCTTAGGCTATTGTGTTATAAGATTCTCATATTTTAAGTAGAAGTGGCCACTGCATATTGTTAATATAGAACTGTTTCATGTCATATTTTTTTCTGTATATTTGAATTGCTTGCTTATCCAATTAAAATAATTATTCAGGAAGAAAATGAATGAGAAAATATTTGCAAAGCACGTGTTTCAGATAGCAAACTTAGCCTACTAATTGAAATTTCCTGATGACTAATTAGCAAGAATATTTTTTAGATTGGTTTTCAGAGCTGGGATTAATTAAGAAAAATCTATTCTAAAATTACTTTCATTGTAGTGGGTTGGACACAATAGGGTTTAATAAATGTTGAATAAGTAAATGTTTTGTCTCAGGAATCTATTATTTTTTAAGTCAAGGTTTGTTTCTTTCCCTTACAAATAAAACATATTCGTGTTACAGAAAAATTTGAAATTCAGAAAGAGAGGTAATAAAATCTTGCCTAATTATTTAATCTGTCCACAACTAACATTAGTATGCTGGCATATTTTCTTCTAATCTTTGTTCATACACACTCACATCACACAACAAGTTGTTTTATGTTATGCTTTGATTTTCATTTTGCATTATTTAAGTTATCTTATTTAGTTAATATTTTCCAGATTGTGGCATAATCAGCAAAAACATCATTTGAATAATTGTGTATTTTTCTATTGTGTGAATATACCACAAATTCATCAACACTCTCTTATTGTTCAGAGGGTAGTGTTTAATATTCCCGTTACTGAGAGACACAAAGTAATGTCATGAGAAAAGCATTTCCCTACATATATATTTTTATGATAATATTGCTTTTTTTCTCTTTGGACTCCTAGAAATGGAATCACCACATCAAAAAACATGCTCACTTTTATGACTTTCTGGATTCTTTTCCTAGTTTGTTTCCTAAAATGTGTTTCTAGCTGACACATCTACAGAAGTGGGACATTACCTTCACAACAATGTTACTGGCATTGATTATCATTTTTACATAAAACAATTTTGTTGACCATCTAACTGCCTTTTGTGAAGAGACAATGAGTCCGTTATCATATCCAGACATTTTAGTTCCCTTTCTTCATCATGGAAGTGAAGTCGTGATACCACCACACCACTGTAAGGCACAGAAATCCGTAAACTTGCAAACTATTAGTAAATGTCTACCATTCTAGGTTCCAAGCCAGATAATTGTAAGCCAGAAAACAATTTAGCTACCTTTTGCAGGTATCAATTCATAGTTTATTATTATGGTTCTAATTACAGTAATAGAGAATTTAAAAATTCAGAAACAGTAAAACAGAAACTGTAAAAGGACAAAGAAGATTAAAAAAATAAAATATCCGAAGCAAAAATTCAAGCTAAGGTGCTTCCATCTTAAAACAAATGAACTTTAAAACCTCTTGTTTTCATTTTCAAGTGGTAGGAGCAGAAAGTTTCATGGCCTAAATAATAGAAAATAATAAATTTATCAGATCTAGGCTGAACGTTTATCTACTATAAATGAAATAGATGTCTTTCGACCACTAAATAGACATTACTATGTAACAGTTATAAATATAATGATGTATTCATCAGTAACCCATGAGTCAGCACTAATCTATTTCTTTTCTATTACCATAAGAATACCTGAATATCTGTATTGAAAGTGTATTGATTTTTCAGAGAGAGTGCAGCACAATTCACCTGGACTGACTTAGATTGAACAAATGAAAAGTTTCTTTTTTTTTTTTTTGAGACGGAATCTTGCTCTGTCACCCAGGCTGGAGTGCAGTGGCCGGATCTCAGCTCACTGCAAGCTCCTCCTCTTGGGTTCACGCCATTCTCCTGCCTCAGCCTCCCGAGTAGCTGGGACTACAGGCACCTGCCACTTCACCTGGCTAGTTTTTTGTATTTTTTAGTAGAGACGGGGTTTCACCGTATTAGCCAGGATGGTCTCGATCTCCTGACCTCATGATCCGCCCGTCTCGGCCTCCCAAAGTGCTGGGATTACAGGCTTGAGCCACCGCGCCCGGCCGAACAAATGAAAAGTTTCAAGTTAACTACATGAACTCCTAAGCATCTTTATGGAAATAGACCATATATTTACTCAGTTTGATGTTCCATTAACAGGTTATTAACTTATATAAGGAAAACAAAATTTCTTTATAAATTGTATGTGGATATATTTTTATTTATGTTTTTCAATGTTTTATATTCTTTATAAAATATTAACATAAAATATTTTATAAAGAGTTTCTCACTCCTGCTTCACTCTAATACTCATTCCCACCAAACAGAACAGTTTCTAAGTCTCATATTCTAGAAATATATCATGCAAATGATCAATTTTGTTGAATAATCAATTTTATTTCATTGTTTATAGAAAATTGTTGTGAGCTAATCAGCTGTTGATTTATTATATCTGTTTTATTAATAATTTATCTTTGTGTTTTCAGATTCCAAGAAAACAAAAAAACCTGCAGAAGGTACTGGACATATTTCTTTTTTTCTGCCTTATGTTTGATTAACCCTGAAATAGCATACCTTCTTAAAGGATTGACATAGAAGAAGGAATTATGTGTGGTATAGAGGAGAAGAAAAAATGATTGAGATTAAGGGGGAGAGAGAGAGAGAGAGAGCCAAATCTATTCTGACAGTACTGCTATGAGAGGTATTTGGCAGTAATAGAAGTAAACACTGCATGTATTTACCTTTCGCAGTAGTTGTTTCCAAAGAAATGTTTACTTGACAAGAAATTGAAAAATTTTCAGTATCAAACATTTATTTTACTAGAAAGCACACACTCAATTACTTTTTGACAGACCAGCATCAATTAGGAACTGATTTATCCCTCCTAGACTTGTTCACATAGTGTTTTTATGTGTTTAAGAAACACACATCAGGTGTAAATAATTTAAAATGGTTAAACATTATAATCATGGGTTAATTTATTGTCAAATAATGTTTGCCAATCAAATTATGGAAACACCTACAGTAATTAACAATACCTCATAACCTTACTGTGAAATTTCACCTCACTGTGAAATTTAAGGAGAGAAAATTGGAAGGAGCGGTGGGAAAAATTAGTCTAATCAATATGTAGGGTAGTAAATTTTATCTTTAAAGTTTTAAGAGCAATGATTTTGTTTGTATTTCTTTCAGTAGAACAGCCCAAGGGAAAAAGTAAGGAAATGCATGCAGTGTATTTGTGTACTTTTTTTTTTTTTTACTACTATTATTTGCCTGCTGCTGTATTTAGACCTGGAGTTTTGAATCCGCCTTTCCTACGTTTTATGCATGTGAACTCTTGTTTTTTGTCCAACTGAAAAAAATACACAGTCTGGGGGTTATAGTGGACTGAGAAGCATAGTAATCATTTTTAGAACACTTTCTCAAGCTCATGCAATCATCTAACAATACTCTTGACGAGCTTGTAATCAAAAGTAAAACTGTATTCCATTAACCCAAACTGACTTATGTTTTTGTAAATTTAGTCCTAATCTGGTTAGTTCTCAGTCTTTTGAAGATTGACTAGAAGTTCTTTTCCAGGCTAGCTTTACAACTTTTTTCCTATCTTTCTTTTTGTAATCTGTAGCATTTTGGAATGTACATGTGATATATGACATATTTCCCATAACATAATTTCCCCCAACACGCACTATGAGCTCTGTCTAATTGTGTTGCTATTCAGCCTCATCCACTGTTGCTTTAATACACTATTAAGGCTGTTTACTAACAGTTCAGTCAAGCTCAATACCTTAAGGTATGTCTTTCACAAATATATGTTCTCCTCTGAAGAAAATAAGATATATTTAACAAAAGAAAGCAAAAAAAAAAAAAAAAAGAAAAAACCACCTAAACTTATTCCATTTACTATTAAAAATTAGCACATTAGCAGCAATATAGAGATTTTAAGAGTCTAGTAGTATAAAAAATATGTTTTAAAATACATACCAATTGAAATATATTTATGTATGTTTTGGCCCTACATAAAATAAGGATGCTGAGACATTCAACGTCGTAAAAATGCTCTAAAATGCCCTGTGGAGACACTCATGAAATTATACTTCAACTCAGCCAGGGGGAGCAATCCATCTATAGAGAGGTGTGAGTTCTCTCAGTTCAGATTTATGTGTGTGCAGAGCTGCTGATGAGTACTGGCACAGTGATACAGAAGGCACTCTATAAACACTGAACCAGCAGGAAAATGGAGGACAACCGGAGATTCGAAAAATAGTATTAAAGTATATAGAGAGAGAGCCTTAAGACCCTTTATTACAGTTTATATGATTTAAAAGTTCCTGCAGACACTGCAGCTCCTTGGCAATCTTCAGGGCACTGATGCACTTAATAAATAAACATGCCTTCATCACGCATTCATTCACAACTCAGCGGTTTCCCTCCTTGAGAAGGTCCGCAGATTGTGACTTGGGTAGCAATAAGGAGAAGAAATAGTTTTCTTCAAAACACCTATCAATTCTTTTCAAATTCACTCATTTGCTGTGGTTTATCATCTAGACTTGCTTTTATTATTTTTAGTGTTGTATCTTTGAATTTCTTTGATTTGGATTTTTTGTCTTGAGGGTTGCTTTATTCAATGGTACAGCCCAATTTTATATTTTATTTTGCTTCTACTTTTCCAATAATCACAACTTAAAGGTTGTTCACTTTTCAGATATTTTTAATTATGGTTAGGGGAAACAGGATGAAGAGTACGAGACCGTCCTGTACATTTTGTAAATGTTTGTGAGCTATAATTTTTTTCAAAATAAAAAGTAAAAGAGAGAGGCCTCAAAAATCAACCATAGCATGATTTTGTGGTCCCTATAGAGTTAAAGAGTAAATCAATGTATATGTAATATGGTAATTCAATAACTACACCATGAGCTATCCTGTATAATGAACAAATTAGCACAGCTATTTTCCAGCTTGTATAATGGCTTTCTGATAAGATTGAGGGGACTTTGTTTTAACTTTTAATCTTATGTATAGTTGGTATTCAATTTTGATGCATATCGAAATCTGCTTCCAGTACTTTTTTGACTGTCATCACTGATTATTTGTGACTGTCATCACAAATTTCTTAGAAATGTGTTATGATTAGAGCTTCAGTTAAGCAATACCTTAAACAATGCATTTAATTGCTCTTCATTTGCCAGACAACATTTGATAATGTTCTAATTTTGTTTAATTTTAGCTAAATTGTCATAGCTTCTTCCTTTTGACCTGCAACACTTGGTCAAACCATTTGTTTCATTTTTTTGTTTTACTGCTTAAAGGCTTTCTTAAAGGAGGATAAGTTGCTCATACCATACTTGTTTAATTACAAAGCCTGACTAACAAAATTGTATACTTGAGAAATTGATGTGGTGACCATAGCATTCTATGACACTCTATATTTTTAAAATACAGTCTGTAGAATTCTTTCAGCATGCACATATTCTAGTCTTCAAAATCTATTCATTAAATAAAACTTTAAGAATCTTTCCATTCTTTTTCTTTAAAATATCAGATAAAAATGTGTGTATGTTAAAGTATTTCTTGAAAATCTTCTTTTAAATTAATTTGACAAGGTTGTCAAGGCAAAATAAATAAGAATAGAAATGTAGATGATAGCACTTCATATAAAATTAGTACTTGCAATTCTTATAAAATTAGTGCTTATTATAATGTAAATATCAGCTTAATCTATAATGCTTTGTCTCATACAATATTGACAAAAGTAGATTCCTGAAAAGAAATGCCATATAAAGAGGACTCTAAAAGGAGCATTTGTCCGAAAAGCAAGGCAAATGTTTTACCCTGAAACTTCTTTTTCTATATTAGTGTCTTAAATGTATCTCACAAAGCCTTTGTCTTAGCTTAACAGCTATTTCTTCCATGTAAGAAGATTCTTAGAAGAGGCAGTCCACATGAAATGCGCTAATCTTCAACGTTCTGAGAATTATTTTAAAATAACTGCAATAAGGTGGGGTGCTGTGGCTCATGCCTGTAAACCTAGCATTTTGAGAGGCTGAGGTGGGTGGATCTCTTAAGTTCAGAAATTTGAGACCAGCCTGACCAACATGGTGAGACTTTGTCTCCACACACACACATACACACACACATACAACAAATCTGGCTACACATGGTGTGTGCCTGTAGACCCAAGCTATCTGGGAGGCTGAGATTGGTGGATCAATTAAGCCCAGGAAGTGGAGGCTGCAGTGAACTTGAATTGTAACACTGCGCTACAACCTGGCAACAGAACGAGACCCTGTCTCAAAAAACTAAGCAATTTTTTAAAAAGCTGTAGTAATTGTCTTTTGTACTTACTATTTTGACTCAAATTAATTTCATATTGATCTAATATAATAGCAAATTTCATTTTTTTACCCTTTTTGGATTCTATTTTATTTTTCTGGTTTATCATCTGTAAAAAATTCAAATTCCTCTAATATTCAGAATATTTTGATGCTGCCCCATAAGGCAACTCCTGAGATAAATGGAAGAAATAATTATTTTAAGTATACAATCTTAGTCTTTTTATGTAAGCTATTATTAGTTGCTGCAATCTGGCATCAGCACATGCATGTTTCTTTGTGTTCAAATAATGAAGTTGGGATTCATAAACTTTAGAATAATAATAATAATAACAATAATAATATGTTTCAGAACAGGAAAAGAAAGAAAAACATGTGGAACCAGGTAACTGTTTTTAAATTCCTCTGTTCTCACAATTTCATAATATTATTTGATTTGCAATTGAATACTGAATTGCAATTGAATGACATAAAATGTTGATTTTTTTTCTTTCCTTTTTGATACAGCAAAGTCACCAAAGAAAGAACATTCAGGTGAGTAAGACCACTGTTGCTGGACCCCAAATACTGATGTCCAGTGTTTATTAATGCTGTAGCCTCAAACAGGTGGTAAGACAGTGGCAGTAAAAGGCAGGGAATGCTTCCATCTCACAGTGGTTTTTTCCAAGTTCTTGACATGGACATAACATCAATGCAGCTTTAGAAAATGAAAGCCAAATGTTACACCCTTGCTCCTCAATGTGTGTTCTGTGAACTAGCAGCATCAGGATCACCCAAGAGGTTATTAGAAATGCAGAATTTTTGGCCCCATTCAAGACCTACTGAATCAGAGTCTGCAACTTCACAAGATCCTCGGTGAATTCATCTGTGCAGTATTTGTGAAGTGTACTGTTTCACAGTTTAGTGTAAAAGCAAAACAAAACAAGAACAAAACACTTTCTGTAAATGCATTATACATTGCTTTGTTTTTATAGTATGGAATAATCACTTCCAGCAAATATTATCTCCCAATTCATAATTTTAATAACATTTCCTGAGTGTTCAAGGGAGTTGCAGTGAGAGTAAAAGTAGATTTTGCCCTAAATATATTTACATTCTGATAAGAAAAACAAATGATTGAGAGTCAAACAACCAGACAAATAAACCTATCAAAACAAACAAAAAAAAAACCCTAAAAGTGCAGTCGTTATGGAGACCAAATTATTGTTTTGAAGTTTTCTAGCATTTAACCTGCCCAATTAATCATTTCAAATAAAAATGTCTGAAACCATTTATATTTCCCTCGTTTAAAACTATCACCTCTTGATTTTGCCTGGCTAACTCCTACTGAAGGAGCTTCACTGAGTTATTTAGTGTTTTTGTGTGTGTGTGTGTGTATAGGTGATCATAACCTCATGTGATACCCATCAGTCATTCTTCCCATTTCATTTTATTTAAATGGAAATAGCATCTGCTCAGTCTTATTTAAATAACCGTGAAAAGGGGCTCAATTGTACTCCCATCCTGCCACAAACCATGGAAAACTACAGGTTTGAATCCACATTTATTATTCATTTTTAAAGATTATAAAACATCCTGGGACAACTCAAATCTGTTGTAAGTGTCTGTCCAATTACTTCCCATAGCATCATTTTCTTACTTTTATAATATTCCATATGCTGTTAAAATCATTATCTTTTCCCTTTTCTACCTTATATAGTCAGAAATAAGAAGAAGCCGACTGTTTTTTCTCTTTATTCCCAGAGCACCTATTGTAATGCCAGGACACACTGGGCACTTGATGATGGCTTATTGGGTGAAGGAAGAAACACCAAATAGAATAATTACATTTTTATAAATTTAAGAAAATGAAACCTCACTTATGTATGTAAGAAGAAACCCAAGGTAGTGCATGCATTATAGAAAGATAGAGAGACATACAGAATGACTGTTGGTGTAGCCAATTTTAAAAGTTTTAATAGTTAAATATTACTGTCTAATATTGAACCTGACAAAATAAGATAAATTTCTTGAAATTATTATATTTTTATTTTGGTGTGTGATTACAATGCAGCAACTTAGCAGTAATTAGCTGTAGTTCAAAAATGAAAACCTTCGATTTGAATAATTTATCAAGCAAACTCATTCTTTTCACACTATTTTATAGACTTTGAGGAAAATGCATTTGCCTGTATATAAAAAAATGAGATCTTTGGATAATTAAAAATGGAGAGCAAGATGAATGAGTTTTGAATGAACATTCTGTGTTGGAAGAAGTTGTATGAATAACAAACAATTAAATTCTATAATTCATAGAATATATTTGGATTATATCAAAAAAATTGCACAGTATTTTATTTTCTGTTTCTCAGATCTTGTATTTGTTTAGCTTCCAATATTATACACACAATCTTTAAACAATTAAAATAACCTTAAAATTATTTTGGAAAGAGATAAGCAGACTTGTTATTACTGTTAACCTTATTATTTCTTGTCATTAACAGTTCCAAGTGAAAAACAAGTAAAAGCAAGTATGTTGAACAAAATTTTTAAAGAAGAGCATATTTTAGCAGCTTACTCATTTGAGTTTTCTGCTATAGACTATGCTAGTGCTAATTTTGAGAATGGCTTACCAGCTTTTTGGAATGATTATTTGTTGTGTTGAATATGCAAAATTACTTATCCCTTCCTTTTCTGTGAATTCATTCTTATTAAAATTTATTTATAGAGCTTTCATTTGTTAATTTGGCCACATCATGACACCTTTGCGAAGTGTTATATTTTTATTTCTCATTTTGCAGTATAATAAGTGAATTCTTCAGTACACATCAGACTGAATTATCCTAATGATTAATCAGTTGATCAAACCAGTAGGCAACCTAATTTGTCTACCATGAATATCCCATCTCTAACGAAAGGAAGCCCCTCAACATTTTCCTAACCATTGCTCTTGGAATGTCACAATTCCCTTTTAAGCTTTCTATTCTTGGATTGTGAAATATTAACTGATAACCATAACATACCTTGGCATTTGCAGCAATGGGAGCTTTGACAATATGCTTAGGGAAAAATACTGAGAAACTTTCTTAGTTTGATGAAGTACCTGACTGTTATTAATAAAAGTTATTTTAAGCATAATGGAAAATATTTTGTTTTAGGAAGAAATATATAAGATTTGTTTATAGGATTTAGGTCAGTCCTCAGTTCTATACATGACATCAATGTGCTTATATATATTTTTGAGAGGTTAGGGGTAAACAAGTACTGGTAATGCTACTAATACATAAAACAAATGCATATTTTATTTAGTGCTGAGGGTTTTTTTGTTTTGTTTTTAAATTTTGTTTTTGTTTTTGATGGAGTCTTGCTCTGTCACCAGGCTGGAGTGCAGTGGCATGATCTTGGCTCACTGCAACCTCTGCCTCTTGGGTTCAAGCGATTCTCCTGCTTCAGCCTCCCAAGTAGTTTTTGAGACATATTACATCAGTAGATACATCAGATAATAATTGAAAAATATATTGAATAGCTTGGTAGGAATGTCTTCTTTTAAAAAAATTACAGTTGAAAGTATACACATAGATATTGAGAACTTTGCAAGAGAGGTTTAACATGAATCTAAAATTCCATTTATATTTCCATGAAAAATTTTAGTTAAATGTACAGCTGATTGGAACTCTATATTATGGAGTCTTTACTATGCTGATACTTAGTCTGTAGAAATGCATAATCAAGAAAATATATCAAACAAATCTGATAATTTTGTAGCACTGGCAGAGAGCTTTAGATTGAAGATTGCTCTGAAGATGAACATCTTCTTCCTAGAAAAATGTGACATGTAGATAAAAATATTCATTTGCAATAAAAAATTCTGTAAGTTCTGCTATCTATGAAACATATCATCCAATCAGGTTTTGAAGAGATCAGCATATTTTGCAGAAAATTAGCAAATTAGCTTGCCAAATCATCTTAAACCCAATATAAGTTTCATAAGAGTTAATATTCTACTCCCTATACAGTTGAGAGATTTGCACTTGACACAAACATTATCCTTCAACACAAAAATTAATTAGACATAATTCACAAACTGCTTAAATTACCTGATAACAAGGTGACCACCCATTTTCCCAACTAAAAATGGATTTTGGTATTGAAGTCATACAGCAGGAGAATTTTTATTCAGCTGCTATAAAGGCTACTTATAAAGTTAATGCCTAAAACAAAAATTACATGTCATTACAGATACTCTTGAAAAGCCTTTAAATCATACATATAGTAATAGTTTTCTGTATATAACCTGCACATTTGGGATATGATTTTACAGTCTGTTAAGTTGTGAGAGCAAGTGAAAGTGATAGAGATAGATTATTTAACATAAATTATGTATTTATGTGATGCAATTCCATAGTATTGAATTTAAAGGGATAGATGAGATTGACAGGGTTAAAGCCAGTCAAAGAAAAAGGTAAAAGGGGATTTGTCATTAAGACTGGATTAAAGGAAATAACTGGAAGGTGGATTGAGTTTGTGGTATGGGATTGTTTACTCTAGATCTGGAGGAAACACCTGAAATCACTGTAGGAAAAATACTCGAGGACATGGACAAGCTTGGGAGGTACATCAAATTCGGAGTAGAGTATATATTAGTCCGTTTTCACGCTGCTGATAAAGACATATCCCATACTGGGCAATTTACCAAAGAAAGAGGTTTAATGAACTGACAGCCCCACATAGCTGGGGAGGCCTCACAATAATAATGGAAGGCAAGGAGGAGCAAGTCACATCTTACATGGATGGTTGCAGGCAAAAAGAGAGCTTGTGTGGGGAAACTCCCGTTTTTAAAACCATCAGCTCTCATGAGACTTATTCACTATCACGAGAACAGCATGGGAAAGTTTTACCCCCATGATTCAATTACCTCCCACCGGGTCCCTTCCACAATGTGTGGGACTTGAAGATGAGATTTAGGTGGGGATACAGCCAAACCATATCATAGAGTCTCATGGTAACATGAGCTTCAAGAAAATGAAAACCTTTCAGATTACTGGTGTGACGCTAAACAAGAGCACTTCATGTTTCCACATCAAAAGTTACGTGTTAGGGTGTGGTTTGGATGAAGAAAGGGTACCTTGGACTAGGCAGGGGTGCTGAACCTAGCCTGGCCATTTCTTTAACTCAGCAAAGACTCCTTTATTTATCATAGTGTAAGCAAAAATACGTCAACACACCCAACTGCCCTGCCTGCATTCCCCTTCATGTGCCTCTCCACACATTGGATGGCAACACAGAGGCTGACAATAAAATCAGTAATTTCCAAGCAGGAAGAGGACCCAACAAGTAGATGTGTAGACTGTAGAGCACTTCATGGCTTTAACACTGCATATATGGTGAATCTTCAAGAAGAAATATAGTAGACATTGTTTACCAAATATATGTGACCACATTACCCCTTTCTCTTTCAATGATCACATCAAGGATCACTATTTTTCAGGAACTTGGGTAGCACTGTCCCAGGTCACTTTATTCCACCTCAAGGACCTTGGGACTGGGATGATGTATTCCATATGCATGGTCAGCCAGTCAGTGGTCAGTTTGAATTTTGAGAAAAATAACCACCAAAACGCAGGATAAGGCCAAACTATAGTCATTTTTAACTCTGGTTAACTCGGGCATTTTTCACCCCTTGATTTTAGCATTGCACAGATTGGGTGCTATGTTCAGCCACCAAGCCTGACTATGTTTATCTCCTTAACCACACTTCAGTGTCTAAACGTGTGAGTCAGGTATCTATCATCAAATCTACTAATGTATGTCAGGATCATTTAGGAGATGTCTGTATGCAGAATTTAAAAGTAAAGTCCCATTGAATTTATTCAGTTATGTATGTTAGAAGAATATTTGGAGACAATTGCTCTTAATAAAATTGCGTGTTTTTTTGACTCAGTTTAAGTACTCTAGCATGGGAATGGCAAAAGTCTATGGGAAGATCTATAGGCCTGAAACATAGTGCTTGATATAAAATGAATTGTCTCTAGATCACATGCTGCATGCCAAATATAATCTTGGTTGATCTATGATCTTAGTCAGTTAGAACAGTCTTCATGTACTATATTGTCCTAGAATAATTATTACCTGCACCTATTTTTACTTGCTCAGTTTTGTATTATATATTATATAATTACTAATAGTATCACAGCTGGTGCTGCCAGAATATATTCAAAACATCACTCATACAGCACTAGAGTGATGATTTTATGAGGTTTAAGTATCAGGAAAGGTAAGATGTCAGAGACCTAGGGCTGCCTTAGGTGGTAGGGTAAGGCGTGCTTCTTATTTGAAACTATGTATAAAGATGAGGTTGGTGTTCTGAGTGCCAGCCCCAAGCTGAAAAATGCCATGGTTCAGAGTCAAAGAATGTTCATCGAGATTGACACAAAGAGATCTAAGCTAGACTGATGAGTACTGACAAAAGTAAAATCTAAGTTCAATTAAGACATGAAGAGGTAGGAGAGAAAGGGACAGGATTTCAAATGGGAAACCAGAAATAAATTTTAGTATTATAAAAGTGACATAATGAACACAGCAACATGGCACTATAAAGCATGGCTATTGAGATCAGGACTATGTATCTTAAGTATTAGTAATAAAGTAGTCCCTGGATATTGTATTATAAAGGGTAGAATGGTATTGGTGTAGATATAAATTTTCCAATAAGACAGAAAAAAAGAGACCTAAAATACATCACGCTTGAGTAAAAATCTGACATAAGAAAGAGCAGCCATTTCAGAGAGTCAGAGAGTGGATAGATTATTTTTAATGTTGCTGATATAGCTCATATTCAATACAAAAATATAGTTTATTCTTATTTCATACAATTCTAAAATATCAGTTCCAAATGGTTCAAGAACTTAAATACTAAAGGCAAAATATGGCATTATCGTTTTTTTAACCATAGGAAAATATGTAGTTTCTTGAAATATGGGAGGATTTGAAAAACTAGATGTTCAAAATTCTAGTCATACATTTAATAGCTGACATTTTATTGTATTAGAATTATGAACTTCAATTTATCAATAAATGCCATAAAGAAAGATAACGGACAAGCCACCAACTTGTAAAAGATACTTGTAACATATTTAAATAGCAAGAGATTAATAGCAAAAATAGATGAACACTACAAAAATTTTTTAAAAAGACAAAGACCTTGATAGACAATGGGCAGAAAAGAAAATGGCCGCTAGATATAAGACTGCATTAAAAAAAAGAAAATGCAAATGTTCTATAAACATATCAAAAGATGTTCAACCTCTAAGTAATAATGGAATTGTACTTAAAAGTACAAGATAGTATTTTACATAAGAATAAATATTCAAAATTAGGGAATAGGCTTATTCTGATGATGGTAGTGATATGGAGCAGAAGAAACTTGCACATATGCTGCTGACATCAATGCAGAATTTGGGGAGAAAAATGTGTCATTTATCTAGGGTACATGCCTAGCAAGTTTACTTCTATGAAAGTTATTGCCAATGTGCAAAAGGAGACCCATGTGCGGGAATGTTCATAGCAGAATTATTTAGAAAACATAAAACTGGACGTGACTTAGTGTCCATTGGCAGGAGAATAAATCTGTAGTTTGTAGGCCAAACATTGGAATGCTAGACAGCAGTTAAAGTTAATCAACTACAGCTACTCATGTCAACATAGTAACATCTCAAAAAATCACACAAATTAAATAATACAGTTTAATTTATATAATGTTATCTCACTAAATATTATAATCTAATTTAATTCATATAAAATTATCTTACCTTTATTTAGAGACAAATATATGTAATAAAAACCCATATAGAAAAATAAGGACATAATTATTACAAAATATAGGACAACTGTAACTTTGAGATAGAGAGAGAAGCTTGCAGTGCTAGTAGGACAAGTAAGAGGTTTCAAAGGCCTTGGGGCTATTCTATGACTTAGGTGTGCAGGAGGTTCAAAGGTGAACATTCTTTATTGCTGTTCATTAGATTGTGCACAAATGTTATATGCCTTCTATTTATAATATATTTCATAATAAGACAGGTTTAAAAAATAGAGAGTGAGAGGATAGAAGTAGTGACATTGAGTGCAGCAGCTCTATGCAGAGAGATGAGGTTGCTGAAAATGTCATATAGAATTGAAGGATGTGGTTGTCTGTGGCTCTAAAGAGTGACATGAGACACTGTGAAAGAATCAGTGAAGGAGAAAACTGATGAGGGAGCTGATCGAAGCAATATTGGCAAGAACAAAGGCCTTGACTTGGCAAAAGGAGATGGAATCCAGAACAAAATATGGAAGGATTGGTACTCTAAAGGGGCAGGAACTGATGACCTTTTGGAACTGGAAAGAAAAATGCATGAGTATGTGCTGGTGAGGTAGTGAAACAGTGATTGAGTTTAGTCTGCCCCTATTTTCTCTATGAATTTCTCAACAGCAGCTTATTTCTATGTTGTAGGATGTTTATGGAGGGAAAAGAATAATTGAAACATTTGTTAAGAGTGTGAGAAAGCAAGTTTGTTGGGTCTGTGGTAATATTGCTGGCCAGTGCTAAGTGATCTCATAAATGTGATCCACATTTGAAGTGTGGTCTGCTGCAGAGTGGGGGTCTTCCTTCAGCTTCGATGACTGCTCAGGTGATAGGCATAAAGTATATTTGGTGTTTTGGCAGACATAGTGGGTTGATTTGTGCCTCCCACCGAAAGATGTGTTGAAGCTCAACCCTGGTACCTGTGAATGTGACCTGACTTTGAAATAGAGTCTTCACAGATGTACTCAAGTTAAGATGAGGTCATTTTGGATTAGGGTGGGCCACCAATCTGATGCCTGGTATCCTTATAAGAAGAGGAAATTTGGTACACACAGACGTGTATAGAAGACTGCCACATGAACATAAAAGTAGAAATTGCAGTGATGCAGCTTCAAGCCAAGGAATGCCAAGGGTTCCTGGCAACTAGCAGACTCTAGGAGGAGGCAAGGAAGGATTCTTCCCAAGATCCTTTACAGGGAGCTTTCTAGGGTCCTGCCAACACCTGAATTTTGGACTTCTAGCCTCTAGAACTGTGGAAAAATACATTTGTTTTGTATTTATCTACCCAACAGTTTTAAGGCAGTCCTAGGAAATTAATACAGCAGATGAATACAACAACAGAAAATATGTGAGCGATTTAACTATGGCTCATTTATGCATAAGCTTGATAAGAAGTAAAGTAAAGATATGAGGAAAATCTTGAAAAATAAGAAAGTGGCAAGAACAAGGAATGGAAGTATTAATGGGATCAGATACTGTATAATGGGAGTTCTTGAGTAAGTGAGCTCAAGAAAAAAGAAAAAAATGGTTCCTAAGAACAGAATTTTTAAAATCAAAGTTCTGGCAGTAAAAGAAAATTCTGAGAGTACTAATATAGTTGGAAATTACCAGAGAAGTGGGGTTTCTAGTTTTCTGAATTGAGGAGGCCAAGGAGGTCAGAGATCATGTAGTTGTATGAATTATGTATAACAGTGACTCCCAACCCTCGCAAAATGTTAGAGTATCTTGGAAATCTTAAAAATATACTCAGGGGTCACACCAGACTCATTAACTTAGAATCTCAAAGCTCTGTTGCCCACCCTAGATATCTGAAAATCATAGGCTTAGAAAAACTCCCCAGTTTATTCTAAGGTGCAGACAGGGTTAAGAATGATTCTTAATAATATTCATAGTAATAGTAGAGAAGATGGTAACTATGTGCAAAAATAATCATTGAATGTCAGGATAGGCCACAAGACTGGTTGATGACAACAATGAAGAGAAGTAGAGACTGGTGCAACCTGATAGCATGTACCTCAAAAGAACTAGGGTTTGGAGGAAGCAAGGAGATAATCTATGAAGAAAAATGAGAAACAAAGAGGATATAAATAGGCATTACTTCTATACACCTTGGTATGTGGAGGATGGAAAAGCATTCCCCATTTTAGAAGACTACCGCTAGGAGCGGATACAGTGGCCTTAGTGAGCTAGGATTTGGTTAAAGGAAGAAAGTAAAGTGAACATTCTGAGAAGAGGCTGAAGATACAGGAGTGAGTGCTGCTGATGGACAGAGGACACAGAGGAAGGGCTTTGGAGGTAGGTCAGCTTCTAGGAGAAATACAAAGTCATATGGACTCTGTTTTCTGCTAGAAGGCTGAAACTCATGGTAGTAACTGAGGTAAGTAATGAGGGGACTCACAGTAGGATTAGTCTTGACAGATTCACAGGGGAAATTTGGTAATCAGTTTCCAAAGTGTGGTCCAAATCAGGAGCCTAAGCATCCCCTGGGAACTGGTTAGAAATGCATGTTCTCAGAACGTGCCTCTGACATATTGAATCAGACCTTTTGCGCTCAGCATCTGTTTCAATAGCCCTCCAGCGTGAACCTGATGCATGCTTAAGTTTAAGAACCATTGATCTAAAGTCTTTACCTGGAAGGTATAAAACAGCCGGGGGTCTGTTCAGTCTTGAAGATCAGGGTATTGAGATAGCTTGAAGAAGAGGTTATTTATGTCACTTCTTGCCTGGGTTTAAATTGTGACTCTTGGGGCATCTATCATTGTGGAATTAAAACCTGAAAGTGACATGAAGATCTCCTTCTGATGTCTGATGTCTCTCAAAAGCCAGGGTTTTGTTGCACAGAGAGGATGAGGGGTGTAAAGGCTCCCCTTGTTTGATTTGGTTGTTCTCACAGAGTCAGTGCTGAGCATATATGGGTGAAGGCTGATACATATAAATGCCAATAAGAATAAAAATTAGAATATATATAACCAAGGGAAATAACCTCAACTAATCAAAAGTTTATAAAATGAGTAAATTAGACTTTGTGAAAATTCACGAGCTTATTATTATTATTATTATTATTATTATTTTGCTGTGGACTAGAGAAAACTTTGACTTTAACTAGTTTTGATTTGTGGTCCAATATTCTGTCCTAGCACCAACATTTCAGATTATGACTTCAGGGCAGCTCTCATATCTTCCACTCTTAGTATTTAGAGAAACCAAAAGACCATTTTTTCTTATTTTTATTCTCTTTGTCTCTCTTGAAGAAATATTCAAACGAAATTTTCTATAATATTACAGCTAATATTTTACAATGTAAAACTAATTCATTGAGGTCAAATATTGTTTGCTTGCAATCGGTATTAAACAACTTTTAATTAAAAGCAGACTCAATCATAATTAAAAGCTAAACAAACAAAGAAGCCCTTTCAAATGCTCTTCCCTATAATTCATATGTAACTTAAAATTTGTAGACTATGGCCAGGAGTGGTGGCTCACGCCTGTAATCCCAGCACTTTGGGAGGCCGAGGCAGGTAGATCACCTGAGGTCAGGAGTTTGAGACCAGCCTGGCCAACATGGTGAAACCCCGTCTCTACTAAAAATACAAAAATTAGCCAGGCATGGTGGCTGGCGGTTGTAGTCCCAGCTACTGGGGAGGCTAGGGCAGGGCAATTGCTTGAACCTGGGAGGGAGAGGTTTCAATGAGTCGAAGTCGTGCCACTGCACTCCAGCCTGGGCAACAAGAGTGAATCTCCATTAAAAAAAAAAAAAAAAAAGTAGACTAATAAATTAGTATCCCATTGTATTGAATGTGGCCTTAATTTTGAGAACCATTGATCTAAACTCTATGGAATAGGACACTTTCTTTTATGGTCACTACCTACATTTTTAAGATAATAATGTTGCACCTTGGAAGAGAATTTCTTTATTGCTATTTAAGGAAGTTTATTAACTGAAAAAACAAATAAGCACTTTGTATTTTGGCTTTCTCTACAGCTTGCTTTGCTTTCGTGTGCAACATACATTTTATCTTTTGTTTAGTTTTATTCTCAATAGTATAAAATATGAATTTCGCATCACTAATATCCACTTCTCATTCCTTTAATATCTGAACTTGCAGAAACTGAACGAGTCAAAGAGGAGGTTGGTGCTGTTTCAAGTAAAAAAGGTAAATGCAGCTTAAAGATAAAGATGTCATGACTCTAACTTATTTCTGCTAAGGTTTCTAACAATGTATTGTTTTGTGCTTAGAGAAGAGCTCTATTTGTTGATTTTACTAGTTTGTTGATATAGAAACAAACCTATTTTGCACAAGATTTTATCGTTACTGTTCTAAAGCAAAAACGTGTGATTCCTTTAGGACCATAAATTAAAGCTAGTTATGCTAGTCAAATTGCAAGTTAATTTTGAAAAATTATAGAAATGTAACTGTTTAAACTCCATAGGATCCCCATCATCTGGAGAGCATTCGAGTGCAACATACTGCCTTAAGAGATTAGGAATCGAATAAATGAAACTTTAACTGAAAGTACTCACATGAACAAAATTCACTTTGTTCAAGAATGGTATAAAAATATGAAATGTATTATGTGAGATGGTGACTTGGAAACATTTTGCTTTAAGAAATACATTGGGAAGTCTGAAATGAAATCAGTAATGTAGCCAATGTCTTTGGAAGTATAGCAAGAGACAATTTAATAAGCCTATCCTCAAAATACACTTATGCATACACACACAGAAACCTACACACATACCCTTACACACATACCCCATTAAAACCACGTAACAGGTTCTCCTAAAAGACTATTTTATTTCACATGCTTTATAAAGAAAACATATAACAGGATTGTAGGGAGCTATAAAATATATATGACACATATTCACATACTCAATCCCAAACAATGTATACATATGAATATAAATGAATATAGGAATGTAACTCAATATCTAATATAAATTTATGTTTCTTAATAAATACAATATAAATTAATGTTATTATATAAATTAATTTATTGATTATTTTATATATACATATATCTCTATGGGAAAGCAACAAAGATTAGATAGTGAATTCTTTAAGAAAAATATGAACTGTATTTGAAAGTAATAATTAGAAGCAATTAAGTTACTGATATTAATAGATGCTCTCTTTCAAATACAACTCTATTGTTCTGAATTCACAGTAGATAGGGATAAAATCTGTTTCCTAGTCATCTCTTTTTCTTATAATCTAATATTTGTGATGTCAATTTTTAACTAGGTGATCATGATACATCTTTCATTGACATCATTTGTACTGTAAATGGCAGAGTAATTTATTTATCAGCGGTTCTTATTATGTGGTGTCATATTCTGGAATCGACATTGCTCATTGATATTAAGTGAAATGTGGGTTAAACTTGTTTGCTTCAAAAAGAGTAACTGTAGTAACAAGAAAAAAGTGAGTCTTAATATAGAGTCAGAGAAAATCACTAACCTAGACATAGATGCAGAGTTCATGGGCCCAGTAAGTGGACTTAAGGCAACAACACTGATTTATGTTGAAAGAAGAACAGAAGTGTGGCCAACTTATGTTCAAAATTTAGACAAGGCTAAAAGCAACAAATGTCCAAACAGCCGAAGATAGGTTTCTTTTGGAGTAAGATTTTATTTTTATTTTATTATTAGTATTTTTTAAATTTTTTTGAGACAGAGTCTTGCTCTGTCACCAGGCTGGAGTGCAGTGGCTCACTGCAACCTCTGCCTCCCAGGTTCAAGCAATTCTCCTGCCTCAGCCTCCTGAGTAGCTGGGATCACAGGCACGCACCATCACGCCCAGCTAATATTTGTATTTTTAGTAGAGACAGAGTTTCACCATATTGGCCAGGGTGGTCTCAATCTCTTAATATTGTGATCTGCTCACCTCAGCCTCTCAAAGTGTTGGAATTACAGGAGTGAGCCACCATGCCCAGCTGGAATTAGATTTTATACTCAGAGCCTTAGTGAATCCATGTTGTGGAAGACAGTCTGGAGACACAGTTAAGAAGCAAAGATTGAACTCCTAGTAGCTGATCCGTAGACTCTGCACTCTGTGTCACTGGGAGCCTGGATATTGTTAGAAGAAAACCCTTGGCCAAATTATATTTAACAGTGTTTAATTGAGCAAAAAATGATTCATGAATTGGGCAGCTTCCTGAGCTAGAGTAGTCTCAGAGAAACTTCAGCATAGCCCCATGGTGGAAGGATTTCTGCACAAAACAAGGAACATAACATACAGAAAAAGAAAGTAAGATACAGAAACAGCTAGATTGGTTACAGCTTGACGTTTGCTCTTTTTGGACACAGTTTGAACAACTGGTCCTCTTTGGTTGGCCAAAACTTGGTGATTAGCACAAGAGTAGATTACAGCCTGTTTCTACCTCCATTTGGGTTCACTATGTACAGAGAAACCTCTAGGTCAAACGCAAAATAATGAGGCAACTTCAGGCTAGGCTTGATTGAACAGTATTTAGGGTAGAAATACAAGCTCACATAGTATGGGCTTCAATCAGGACAAATTGGAGTTAGCAGAGAGACAGAATTGAAATTGAACCATCAATTAGTGAGCTCACCAAGAGTCCTCAACCAAAAGTGCTCACTGAAAGAGTATGGCCAAATATTTTGGTTGGGGTTAAGTAGACTTGCTTGTCAGGCTTGGAGGGAAGTGAAAGGAAATAAATTATCTATCTATTCACTTACATTGTTGACATCAACTACTTTGCTTATAGTTGATTATAGATATTATACCCCAATTCTCAATTTAAATATAATTCTACATACTGAGTTTATTTTCAACTACAGAATGAACAGAAGTAAATGTTCTTTTCAAAGTGACATAACTGTTTTAAAACTCATGAAGGGTTTTTACCAATTTGACAAATTACAAACAAAAATCAAAGGAGACTTTTCTCATTTGTCAAGTAACTTGTTCATCTCCTACCTCTCACTGACAATCAGCCATGCGTGAAAAAAAATATTGTTCTCATCACGTATTTACTACCCAAGCCCCAAATTCCACAATACTTAGCATACTTTACAACTTGTCCACCTCTAGCCTTTCACATGTAAGTAGAAGAAGAAAGTAATTTTTTTGGTTTTTAAGGTATTAAAAAATTGTTCTAAATCGAGGCTTAAACTAGGAACTGTGTGCAATGTTAAGTGGTAATTACTAATTTTGTAATTGTTTTAAAGTTCTTGAAGATGAAGAATAATATTTTAAGGTGTTAACTGTAATGTGTCTATTTATACGTAGCATAAATTGTCTTATCTCAACCCTACTTTTACGTCATATTTTATTTGGAGATATATAGTATTTAATCATTAATATAATATCAGTTTGCTAATTTATTTTGATTTTCACCTTGCAGTTTTCTAATCATTTTCATATTTACTCACCATATATTTATGGGTTATATATTATATGAAAAATCAAGAAAAATTTTAAATGTTAATATTGTTCTTGAGTTATTTAAAATACTAAAAATATGAGAATCTTTATTAAGTCACTAAGTTGGCCTGAAGTTTTACCATCAATGAAAGTTTCTTGTATTACCATATTTCAAGGTTGAAAGCCATCAGGCTAGAGATACAAATACAGATAAAGTTCTACCCAAAGTTTAAAAATTAATTTTACCTGGGGAAAAGACAATGTTTAGGGCATAAGATGACTTCAGAGTTAAGCCTTAAATAAGAGATGGGGTTTTGCTATGTAAATAAGTTAGAAAAAAAATATCCTGGGCATAGATTTCAGAGCAAGGCAAAGTGATACAAATTTGTAGTATGCATATGAGGAACAGCAGTAGTCTCAAGACCATTGTAGGAATTAATATAACCTGGGCTAAGAATGCAGTAAAAGGGCCTTATTTTAAAATTGGACTTGATTCCATGGGCAATTAGGGGGGTGGTGAAAAATTGTAAGTATATAAATAACACTCAAACGTATGCTTTAGGAAGAGTAACTCATAAAGGAAAATTTTGAAATAGGCAGATTAGGAAGATTCTCAACAATGTAGTGACCTGTGTTAGGACCTGGACTAGGGCATTAGTTATGAGATTGGAAGGGAGAGAAATTTCGTTAGCACTAATAAAGAAGTAGATGCAGTGGAATTTCATAACTGATGATAAGCTTTGGGAGGGAAGAAAATAAAAATAATGTAATGACAATAGCCTTCTTCAGACTGGCTGCTAGAAGAATATTGTTAATATTCTTAATAACAATGAAAAAGAAAAGCGAAAGAATTTGTAGGCAAGAAAGGCAAGATTAATTTTAGATAAATTTAAGTCAAAGTGCTAGTAGCACATGAAGGTAGCATCACATAGGTAGTTCTGGAAGTAAAACTAGAGCTCCAGACAACAATAGGCTGGAGATGGACACATGAGTGCCCTTTGCGTGGAGGTAATTGAGCTTGTCGCAGTGAGATAAAGCAACACTTATATTTGCATTTGTTTGGGGAAAGAACAAGGAGAAATATAAAAGCAGACTAAAATAACTTCAGTAACTGCAGAAAAAAAAAACTTTCAATAGAAAAGTGGTGGTCATGGGATTTGTCAGGTACATAATATATTAATAATGTTCAATACAGAATTCTCAGGGGAGTGACACTCAAAAAACTAAAAGAGTGACAAATCGAATGAGGAAAGAGGGAGTGAAGTGTATGAGAAATGATGATGAAGATAGTTGGCTGGGAATAAAAAATAGGATAGTAGCTGGTGTTTTTATTTAACCTATATCCATCTCTCTCTCTCTTTTTTCTATTATACTTTAAGTTCTGGGGCACATGTACAGAACGTGCAGTTTTATTACGTGGGTGTACATGTGCCACGATGGTTTGCTGAACCCATCAACCCGTCATCTACATTAGGTGTTTCTCCTAACGCTATCCCTCCCTTTGTCCCCCACCCACCAACAGGCCCTGGCGTGTGGTGTTCCCCTCCCTGTGTCCATATGTTCTCACTGTTAAACTCCCACTTATGAGTGACAACATGAGGTGTTTGGTTTTCTGTTCCTGTGTTAGTTTGCTGAGAATGATGGTTTCCACCTTCATCCATGTCTCTACAAAGGACATGAACTCATCTTTTTTTATGGCTGCATGGTATTCCATGGTGTTCAACCATTGTGGAAGACAGTGTGGCAATTCCTCAAGGATCTAG